ATATAGGCTGTACAATGTTGAGGTACATACCTTCGATTCCTAGTTTACTTAGAGCTTTTATTATGAAGTAGTGTTGGATCTTGTCAAAATATCCTTATTTGCAGATGACATGATCCTGTACCTTAAAAACCCAAAAAACTCTACCCAAAAACTCTTAGACACCATAAAAAGCTACAGTAAGGTGACAGAATAAAAAATCAACTTACAAAAATCATTAGCTTTTCTATACACCAACAATGAACAAACTGAGAAGGAATATATAGAAACAATTCCATCCACAATAGCCACACAAAAAAATCAAATAGATAGGAGTAAACTTAACAGAGGATGTGAATGACCTCTACAAGGAGAATTACAAACCCCTGAAGAAAGAGATCAAGGAAGACTACAGAAGGTGTAAAGATCTCCCATGCTCATGGATTGGTAGAATCGACATTGTAAAAATGGCTATACTACCAAAAGCAATCTAAATGTTTAATGCAATTCCCATCAAAATTCCAATGACATTCATCACAGAGATTGAAAAATCTATCCTAAAGTTCATTTGGAAACACAATAGACTGCGAATAGACAAGGCAATACTCAGCAAAAAGTGCAATGCTAGAGGTATCACAATACCTGACTTCAAACTATATTACAAAGCAATAGCAATAAAAACAGCATGGTACTGGCACAAAAACAGACATGAAGACCAGTGGAACAGAATAGAGGACCTGGATATGAATCCACACATCTATATCCACCTCACTTTTGACAAAGGTGCCAAAAACATAATGATGGAGAAAAGACAGCCTCTTCAACAAATGTTGCTGGGAAAAGTGGTTACCCGTCTGCAAGAAACTGAAGCTAGATCCATGTCTATCACCCTGTACTAGTATCAACTCAAAATGTATCAAGGACCTAAATATCAGACCTGAAACTCTGAAGTTACTACAGGAAGGAGCAGGAAATACTCTGGAACTAATAGGTATAAGCAAGGACTTCCTCAATAAAACCCCAGCACCCAGCAACTAAGAGAAAGAATGGACAAATGGGACTATATAAAATTAAAAAGCTTCTGCTCAACAAAAGAAATGGTCTCCAAACTGAAGAGACCACCCACAGAGTGGAAGAAAATATTTGTCAGCCATACATCAGACAGGGACTGATAACCAGAATATATATACAGGGAACTTAAGAAACTAAACTCTCCTAAAATCAATGAACCAATCAAAAAATGAGCAAGTGAACTAAACAGAACTTTCTCAAAAGAAGAAATTCAAACGGCCAAAAATAAATGAAAAAATGCTCACTATCTCTAGCCATAAAGGAAATGCAAAACAAAACCACACTAAGATTCCACCTCACCCAATAGAATAGCCATCATCAAAAACAACATGTGTTGGCGAGGATGTGGAGAAAAAAGAACCCTAGTACACTGCTGGTGGGAATGCAAGCTGGTGCAAACACTCTGGAAAAAAATTTGGAGGCTTCTTAAAAATCTAAACATAGATCTGCCATGTGATCCAGCAAATCCACTGCTAGGGATATACCCAAAGGAATGCAACACAGGTTACTCCAGAGGCACCTGCACACCCATGTTTATTGCAGCACTATTCACAATAGCCAAGTTATGGAAACAGCCAGGATACCCCAATACTGATGAATGGATCAAGAAAATGTGATATTTATACGCAATGGAATTCTACTCAGCCATGAAGAAGAATGAAATCTTATCATTTGCCAGTAAATGGATGGAACTGGAGAACATTATGCTGAGCAAGGTTAGCCAGGCTCAGAAGAGCAAAAATTGTATGTTCTCCCTCATACGTGGACTTTAGATCTAGGGCAAATACAGCAATGTGGATGGACTTGGATTATATGCCAAGGGGAGAGCACATACAGGAGATATGGGAACAGGTAGAAAACCCAAAATATGAAAGCGCTTGATGTCCCCACTCCAGAGGAACTAATACAGAAACCTTAAAGCAACAGAGGTCAACATGAGAAGGGGATCAGGAACCAGTGTAAAGATCAGTCAGAAATGAATCAACTTGGGTTGTAACACATTTGTACATGGAAGCAATGCTAGGAATCTTTCTGTATAGCTATTCTTAACTCAATTAGCAAGAAATGCTTTGTCTCTCTTATTATGCTTATGTCTTTTCTTCAACAACATCAAAGATAAGGACAGAACAGGACCTGCCTAGAAGCAAGAGCAGGAGTGGGGGAGAGGGTGGGGGTGAGGGGCAGGGACAGAAATGACCCAAACAATGTATGCACATGTGAATAAATAAATAAGTAAATAAAATAAAACATGCATGCTAATATTTATTAAGGTTCTAGTCAAAATTGCCCCAACGGGAAACCAATAGGACACACTTCAAAATGTGAATGGATAAACTCTGTTACATTATTATGAAGAAATACTACTCTGTAATAAAAAGGAATGAATATTGATTTATATAAGAACATTCATGAATCTTGAATGCACTTTTCTAAATAAAGAATACAAAAGCCTCATAGTGTACAATTTCATTTACTCAGCCTTCAGAAAAAGACAAATCCCTAGAATGGAAAAAAAGACTACCTCAGGTTAGAAAGTATATAAGATTGAATACAAGGGAATCTGTGGGGTGATGTTTTGTTGAGTAATGTGAGAGACACATGACTCTATGTACTGGTAAAAACAAATATAACTGCACTTGACTTTATTCAATTTAAATTTTAAAAATCCATCAGGCCACATGGGTATTCTCAAAGGACAGGCAAAAACACTCTAATGGGCACTGTGGCCTAAGTGATGGTGATAAACAAGGCTTTGCTTGTACACTGAAGACTAAGCACTACGCACAAACTCTACAGTTGGTAAATCTGTTTCACACAGTGATATTAGTAATTCTGAAACTATTACTTATACACATGTTAATATTAATAAATTAATAAATACCATATGTATTGTGAAATCCAGCTTTCTCATGACAAGTGAAAGAAGTTTCAAATAAGCACTGGGGGAAAGTTAAATGAACTCTGTGATGCTTGTTTGAAGAGCAAGGTATCAGTGTGAACTCACATTACTTTAATAGATAGGTACATAAAACATTAATTCAGATGAGTGTGTACACTATGTTAGTATGGTCTATGTCCTCTGAGAAGACCTGGAATCTGTGATGCCTGAGCAGTAATGAGCACACCTGGAGCCCAGATCTTAACATATGAACACCATTCACCACTAAAAGTCATCAGCTTTCTTTAGATAAGCAATTCCTGGATTGGGGCAGGGGAAATGAATCATGGGTACCAACAAACTACAGAAATATTCAAAGCAAACTAACCAAAAACAAGCAAAAAGAATGAAGATATTTCATAAGGAGAAATATCTCTCTGAGAGAGAGCCCCTGATGGCCACAGCAGGAAGAATTTGAGTCACTAAAAACAAAGACATAGTATTAGATATTAATCCAAAAAAATTCATATGTCCACATATAAAAATCAAATAAATAAAGTGGAAGAACTAACACTCTTCCTTGAGGAAGTCTAATTAATAAATATTAGAAGAAGCAACAGAAAAAGAAAATCATCAGTAGAATAACACAGGAGAATTAGAATCAAGTTTAGAAGCTAGCTAGAGACAGATTACAGCTCACAAGAAATATATGGCAGGATATTCAAAGATGAAATGGGTCACATCAGGAAATGATTTTGTATAAGTGAAGGTGAAGCAAGGGTATGCTGATAACTCCTCACTGGCATTCTAGAGAATTCCTCCATCACATTGCTTTTCAAAATGTGATCCAGAGACCAGCATCATTCATACCAGCATCATTCAAGTATTAAAAATTCAGAAATGCAGAATCTTTGCCCCCTTCTTCAGACATACTAAAGAAGAATTCTGTATTTTTCTATGATATCTAGGCAATTGGTAGGAACTATGAAGTGTAAGCAGCTCTTCTATAGGGCTCCTGGGCTTAGAATCTTTAAATGTACCAGGCATATATGATGGTAAAATTATGAATTATTATTATGTGTACTCATTTATAATTTTGTTTTAATATTTTAATAATTTGATTTTTTAATTTATAAAATGGTTGTAATGGTTAATCTAGAGTATTGTCTTGACTGCATTGAGAAGTACCTATGAAATTAGTAAAGCACACCTCTGGGTATATCTGTGAGGGTATTTCCAGAGAGGATTAGATCATGAGTACTCTGGCTTAATAAGCAGACTAATCACTGATGGGTTCATAAAATGGTGGCCTTATTGGAAGATGATGAAAAGTAGGAGGTGGGACCCGATAAAGCAGTAGCCAACTTAGAGAGTATCCTTGGGGTTATATCTTCCCAAGCCTCTTCCTGTATTCCCCCTATTTCCTATCTGCCATGATGACAACTCTCCATCACACGTTCCCAGCACCATGATATTCTTTCTTCCCAATGCATGATGGCCAGATGGCCATGGACTGAACACTCTGGAATCATGAGCTAAAATAAATCTTTCCTGACTCAGGTTGTTTTTGTCAGGTATTTTGTCACAGAGATATTAAAAGTAACTAATACAATGGCATAGCTAAAATATAGTCTTTGAATAAAATATGACTACTATTTAAAAATTGTAATATTAAAATCTAACTTAAAGGTAGATTTTTTAAAAGTGTAGTCTAGAATGTTTATGACAATCTAAAAAAATCTAACAGCAATGTCTTCTTTAAAGTAACTTTTCATTTATTACAACATTTTTGCTATTTTAAATTATATTCTATATTTGTGCCTTTTTCCCACATGCACAATTCTATTTCTCAAAGCAAATTCTAAATTAATGATGCATCATATACATAAATATAATTAAAATTACTGTTAGAGTGGTAGAAGCTTTATAGGGATTTAATGTCACTTTAAAGTTACTTACACAACTATGAAACAAACACACAAAATTGCTACAGAAAGGCATGTCACACAAACAAGCAACATAAATAGCTTTTCCATTTCCTAATAAACTCTATTGTTAAAAATTCAGAACATACCTCCTGTGTTTTTTAAGCCATAACTTCTCCATGTAGGACAGACTGTCTTCAGTAAATTCGACATTAATTGGTTCTCTCCAAATTTTCAGATTAGTTTGCACTTCACACCCTCCCAACAAGACTACAAAAATAAACATGATGTGAGTAATTAATGAAGCCAAATTACTGTATCTTCTCTCAAGATATGGAACTCATCACTTTTGGAAAGGTATGTGCTTTGGTATTTGTCTATATAGTCAGTGGGTTAAAGTCTAAATAATGCTGAAGTGCTATGTCTTGGTGATCTAATAAATAGCTGTATAGACAGATTTTTTAAATAATCTCTTGAAATGAAAGGATCATATAGTTCTACAGCAAGTAATTCTTTTAAATAAGAATAGTAAATACAAACAGATATCTTGTACATTTTATATACACACACACACACATACAAAGGTATCATGGATGTCAACAATATTTACACATTATAGGAAAATAAATAACTCAGAATGACATCAGAGAAAACAATCTTTCTCATGAATTTATTATCTACACAGCAATTTATTCCCAGAGGTTAGTTATTTCTGAAGAACTACTAAACTAAAATCACTATTGTTATTCATTTAAAACTTATAAAGATTTCTGAGAATTAAAGCAGTATAAATTTGTAATGACTAGTTTCTCCGTCCTCCCAGATACTGCCCAACTCTCCAAGTGGAAGCATCTCAGGAGAAAAATGTAGGAGAAGAAAGAGGAGTAGAAAAGATGAAAAAAAATTTTATGAATTCTGAAATTAGAAGGAAGTCCCAACCTTTTACTTTAACAATTAGGTTTCAGAAACAGCCAAATGCCAACCATAAAAGTAAACTGAAACAATGGACATTAACAACCAGAATCCACTGAACTGAAAGAGTAAGAATTAAGAATATGAGCAATTGCTGGGAGTAGAGACTCACTGCTATAAGCCCAACTACTCAGGAGACAGCGATCAAGAGGATAGTCATCTGACACAAGCCTAGGCCAAAAGTTTGTAAGACCCATCTCGATTAATAAGCAGTGTGAGTGTGGTGGTGTGCACATGTAATTCCCAGCAGTGTGTGAGGCCATAGGTAGGAGGATCTTGTTCTAAGGCTGGCTCTCAAAAGGGAGATCCTATCTGAAAAATAAAAGTATAAAAGGGCTGGAGGTGGGGCTCAAGTAGTAGAGCACCTTCCTAGCAAACACAAGCCTCTGAGTTCAATCTCAGGGCCTCCTGCCCAAAAAAAGAAAGTAAAAGAAAACAAGTGCAAATGGTAGGAAAAAGATATGCCTCACCGTAAGTCTGTCCTATGACAATTGAAATGTTTATTGGCAGGACAGAAAAAGAAGGAAGGGAGGAAGGAAGGAAGGGAGGAAAGAAAAAGGCAGGCAGGCTCATTCTTATTATTTTGTTTTGCAATTCTGTCTGGTCAGAGAGAAGAGCCCCTGTGCTTGAGATACAACCCTCAAACCTAGAAAAGTGATAAGGAAGGAGTTAACTCACTAGCCTGTGATTAACTTTCCTCCCATTACCAATGGCACAATCCCAGGAAATAAAGATGAGAGGTGACCTGGGTTAATTTGCTTGTGAATGTCTTTGATAACTGAGCTTCATGGCAAATAGACTAATGATATTTGCTGGAGAACAATCTTTATCTCTGTAGGAGATTTAGCAAGATAACCCTTGCTTAAAATTGCTACAGTAAACAAATCTAGAATATATGAATTTATGAGGTGTGGCTTCCTGAAAAATGATGCATGAGCTATGTCACTTGGATTTTGACTTTTTTCTCCCCCGTTTTTTCTGTTTGCTTTTACTGACTTTCTTTTCTGAGGTTTTGTGTGAGATTCTCCATCACTCATCTTGATGGGCTCATGGTATTTTCCTTAATACATAATGTAAAAGTCCTAAACTGAAGTGCTTGAGAGGAGCAGGCAGGAGACCAATGAGGCTGAAACTAAACAGTCAAAGGGAGAGAAACAGGAGTGAGACCAAAGATATAATATGCTTTATCTCAACTTGAACATTCTAGGCCACTGAAAATGCGTAACCGTCACACTGAAGGAAATGAGCTTTTGGAATACTAAAATATAATCAAGATAGAAATCATAATAGAAATAACTATACAACTTGGATATTAAAACACACCACTAAGCTAAATGACCTAGAAACAAACACAAAAAAAGATGCTCAATGTAATTTGTAATAAAAGGTATACAAATTAAGTATACTTTTTCATCTCTATTAGACAAATAAATTTTTAATCTGACAACTTTGTTGGTGATAATGAGGAGCAAACAAAACTACTATATACTTCAGATGGGAGCATAAATTGGCACAAATATTTTGCTGAATAATTCAGCTTTATGTAGTATAGTTGAGGTCATGCACACCAATGACCCACCTACTCCACTCTCAGGTGTACACATCCCTAGGAATGTGCGCAGGGGTGTAGTTGGAAACCTGCACAAGAAAATGCATAATAGCATTGTTTACCTTGGCAAAAATAGGAAGCAACCCAAGCAATCATCAGTATTTGAACAGGTGAACAGTGGAATATTCATATAGGGAAAGACTATACACAGTGAAAATAAATGAAATTCAGCCCTGCACATCTTCACGGGTGAATCTTATTAGCTTAATATTCAGTGAAATAAATAAGTCAAAAAAGAATACATCTGCCATAATTCTACTTACAATGTTCAAATACATGCAAAATTAACAATATATTATTGAATAACCCAGGAAAATCATGGGAATGGAAAAACACAAAACTCAGGTCAGTCATAATCTTAGGAAGGAAGAGGATGGGAAAAGTAATGGTGTGGTCAAATGGAATAGGGGTTGGATTCCAGTTTTTACATTAGTGACAGATTCACAAGTGCTTATTAGTTGTCCTCCATAAATTATATAAATTTTGTAAAGGCTCCTTTTGTATAGAACCTGTTATGAAAAGGAAAACAGAAGTATATACACAACACATACATAGTAGTGGTTAATCATATACATAACATCAGTCATACGTATAATTCTCTGGGCCAAATAAAATTAGACATTATCTCATCATAGTCCCTATCTTAATGCTTTCTCCACAGCAACTACACTGCCAATCTTACTTCCTTATTAAAAATACTGTCCTCAGATGTCATAGGGTCAGTCTTTCGAGGTCAACCCCTTAGAACACAGAATGCAGCTAGACTAGCCAAAATGAGTCTGGATGGACACACTGAGAAGAACCATCAATAGTTCATATATTTTCCACTTAAACTACCATTTTTCTCCTTCACAATTTTTGTAAAAAAAAAAAATCTGTTTAAAAGAGGGAAAGCAAATTTCTTTAGTTACTGTATATCATAAAGAGATTTCAATTTATTGAAATTATGCTTGGCACCACTAATTCACTTCACTTTATAGTAGTAGGCAAAAAGGATGAAAAAACAAATCATTAAACAAAAACCATAGTTGCTACAGTCTCCTTTTTTTTTGCAATACTGGGGCTTGAATTCAGAGGCTACACCTTTTTTTTAATTCATTTATTCATATGTGCATACATTGTTTGGGCCATTTCTCCCCCTTGCTCCCCCACCCACTTCTTCTCCCCCAACCCCTCACTTCCAGGCAGAACCTGTTCTGCCCTTTTCTCCAATTTTGTTGAAGAGAAGACATAAGCAATAATAAGAAAGACATAGTGTTTTTGTTAGTTGAGATAAGGATAGCTATACAGAGAGAATCCTAGCATTGCTTCCATGCAAAAGTGTATTAAACCTGAATTGGCTCATCTCTACCTAACCTCTTCACTACTTCCTGGTCACCTTCCCACATTGACCTCTATTGTTTTAAGGTTAGTGTATTAGCTCCTTTGCAGTGGGAACATCAAACACTATCAAGTTTTGGGTTTCCTACCTATCCCCATTCCTCACTCCCATATGTGCTCTCCCCTTACCATGTGACCCAAGTCCAACCACATTGCTGTATTTGCCCTAGATCTAAAGTCCGCATATGAGGAAGAACATACGATTTTTGGTCTTCTGAGCCTGGCTAACTTTGTTCAAAATGATGTTCTCCAGTTCCATCCATTTACTTGCAAATGATAAGATTTCATTCTTTTTCATGGCTGAGTAAAACTCCATTGTGTATAAATACCACATTTTCATAATCCATTCATCAGTATTGGGGCATCTTGCCTGTTTCCATAACTTGGCTGTTGTGAATAGAGCTCCAATAAACATGTGTGTGTAGGTACAGAGGCTACACCTTGAGCCACTCCATCAGCCCTTTTTTTTTTCATTTTTCTTTTATTATTCATATGTGCATACAAGGCTTGGTTCATTTCTCCCCCCTGCCCCCACCCCCTCCCTTACCACCCACTCCACCCCCTCCCTCTCCCCCCCCAATACCCAGCAGAAACTATTTTGCCCTTATTTCTAATTTTGTTGTAGAGAGAGTACAAGCAATAATAGGAAGGAACAAGGGTTTTTGCTGGTTGAGATAAGGATAGCTATACAGGGCATTGACTCACATTGATTTCCTGTGCGTGGGTGTTACCTTCTAGGTTAATTCTTTTTGATCTAACCTTTTCTCTTAGTACCTGTTCCCCTTTTCCTATTGGCCTCAGTTCATCAGCCCCTTTTTGTGAAGGGTTTTTTTGAGGTAAGGTCTTGCAGAACTATTTGCCCAGGCTGGCTTTGAATCGCAATCCTCTTGATCTCTGCCTCCTGAGTAGCTAGGATTACAGGTGCCCAGCCTGGTCTCCATGTTTGTAGGTGGTTTTGAAGACCAAAATGATTTGGTTATTGTAACTTCCTTCCTCTCATCCCAAGATTCTTCTCACTCTCTACCAGCATCTTGGCACTTTTGGTTTTTTTAACCTGGTGTAGTAACCCAAATATTCATTCTCAAAAGACATAAGAACACATAAGCCCTTTCTTCACTGGGTTACCAGTTTCCCGTTGACCATAATTATTGAATATAGGATGTGTCAGGAAGGTGTCCTAGTGAATCCCTGGGTTCCAGACAGAGTCAATCTTCTTTCAGTTGTATAGCAGCAAAACAATTGCTTTTTAGGTGATTAAGCTCAACCAACAAGGTCCGTACAGTGACCCTTCCTACTAGGTAGCAACAAAACACCAGGAGGTAGTCTCAGCTTCTGAAGTAGTGGGAGCATTACTAGAGTTTTGTAGAATATATAGCACTCTAGAGGAAAAGCAGCCCAACCTTATGATATTGTTTCCCAGCCAGGCTTACACTGAGCCTTCTGTAAGTCATTCAAGGGAACTATCAAAAGACATGCTTCTGGACAATGTGGCAGATGGTAAAATAAAAAAATCTCAGATATTAGCTCTATCTTTCATAATGAGTGTCTTGGTCTAATGCAATGTTATATGAGGATGTGATGGTGACAAATAAGGTTCCCATTGCAATACATATTGCAAGCAGAGAAAGCAAATGTGTGTCTAAAATACGTGGCTTTTCCCGTGAAGATAAATCACTGCCCCCTTCATGATACAAAAGTTTCAGTATAATAATCCTGTTACAGATGCTCCCTGCTCACCAAATCTACAGATCATCATGCCATCAATCTAATGAATATGCATTATCTATGCAATTTCATGATAAACAAGATCCTTTCAGACTACATAATGCTAGAAAATAGGCGAGGGAAAGTAGGTCCAGAATGAGATTGTGAAGGTATACTCTTACCCCTGACACATGAAATTTTAAAATATTTCTTACTGTCTTTAGAGATAGAAATAGAAAAAGAATACATTTGCTGAGCCAAGGGTCAGCAAACTATAATTCATGGCCCAAATCTGACTCCTTATTTTCATATGACCAAATTTCTGTGTTCAGAAATAAAGTTTTGTTGGGGTACAGCTGTTCATTCATTTATAAATCATCTATGACTCCTTACATGCTATGATGGCAACATGTGCTAGCTGAGCAGTTGTGAGTGGCTGGCTTATAGGACAGAGTTACCAAGGTTTGAAGTCACAAAGAATACACTGTTTTTCTCCACTAAAGAACCCAGGATCATCTTAATCTAATCAAGTCTGTTTTAAACCAATCATTCTCCCATAATATTAGCTTTGGGGCCAAGTATGAAAGTTTTTAAAAATCAGTGTTCCTGCATCTTAAATATTTAATAATGGCATTAATCTGAAATTTCCAGAAACATAATATCGCTTCAGGCATATTAGTTTTAGCAATTCTGGTACCTAATATGTATGTATACTTTATGCCACAGAGTAGACTGCCAATGTAGGGATTCTTTGCCTTACTATTACAAATATCTAGGAAAATGACCATACAAGGAGACCTCACTCCCAATGCACCCAGTAAGAGATAGAATCAAGACAAGACTCCATTTATCACCTCAACTCTGTAATCCTTAACACCAACTGGCAGACTATGGTAGTATTTAGAGTTCTTAAGGAAAAGTATTAACTCAAAGTTAGACTATATAATGTCTGTGAAGTTCTGTGCATTGCCTTTCTTCATTGTATATTTATCCTGGTATATAGCCATAAGTTCTGCTAGCAAAGGCTCAAAATAAGTTAAATAGTGTATACTTGTGGCCACATTGTAGGGTAATATAATGGACCCAACTCCTTCCTCAATTAACTCAATTAACTTTATGGAACACCATAAAGTTCTGAAATCCCCATATAGTGGCCCAGATCATGCTTCTGTCCACAAAACAGAAATTTTCTATTTTGTAGTTTGTACAACATTTTCATTTCTAGGTGCCCCAATTAGCATCAGAGATATGTGAATTGAAACATCCTAATTACAACACTTTCCTGCACCATATTTTTCCACAATTTTGATGATGATATGCCTATTTTGTCTCTACCATTCCAGGGTTCCATTATTCTTTTGAAATCAAGAAACTCAGTTCCATTGAAGCATTTCCCTATGGAATCATCTTTAGCCTATAGAAGAAAACCACACTAAACCTGTATAAGAATGACAGCACTCGGTGACTTAGTAATGAAAGGGTCCCCTGGGTCATCATGGAATGGAAAAGATAGCTGAGTAACTTGAACATTTTCAATTACAGCATTCCTATCTCCCAGAGCCAAAATTCTTCCCCTTCAAAAAGTCAGGGAAGTTCCAGCATCTCAACCTCTTTTACTGTAAAAGCACATCCAGGCTTTATTTAATAAGGCAACATGGAAGAATATTAATCCCATTCCTGCAGTGTTAGAGCCAACACATTAAGACCAAATCCTGTGTAAGTACCTCTTTATTGATAGTCCCCACCTAATCTGATCATGCATTTTATCTTCCTTAATTTATCACTGTTGAAATCTCTTCCTTTACTTGCTTCCTAGACTCAAGGGATACAATTGACACAGTGCCATAACTTCAGTGCATGCTGTCTTCACCTGGCATGGGCCTTAGCATTGCTCTTTTCCACTCAAGTTAAGATTGTCATTTGATTGATTCGTTGAACTCCTTTTATTGTGCAACTTTCAGAAGAGGTTGTGGGTACATTAGCACATCGTTTTTCCCCAGGACATAGTACGTACTCAATATATGCTGAAGGAACTTATTATGAGAGGAATGTTATATAACTCTAATATCTAAAATATAAATGTTCTATAACAATTTTTTCAAAATATTGACAAAAGATAAAATAAAAAGTATTGATCAAAAATGACCAATAATTATTTCCCAAGTGATGATGAAAGCCAGGGTAAAATGAGTTATCATTTATTATCTATTAAATTGAGTAAAGATAAAGACATAGAAAATATGTGGTAACAGCCAACTCACACACTACCAGTGAGAGTGCAATTAAAATGGTAGTCTTCTTAGAGAACAATCTGACAATATTCATTAAAATTTTATAAAACAAATCACCCACTGAGGTAAAATTTCTACATTTACAAATTTATATTATGGCTTATACTCTCTCTACAACAAAATCAGAAATAAGGGCAAAATAGTTTCTGCTGGGTATTGAGGGGGGAGAGGGAGGGGGCGGAGTGGGTGGTAAGGGAAGGGGTGGGGGCAGGGGGGAGAAATGACCCAAGCCTTGTATGCACATATGAATAATAATAATTTAAAAAAGATGATTAAGTGGCCATCATAACTTCTTTTAATAATACTGAGAATTAGAAAAAATACCCATCAATACAGACCTAATTAAATGATGCCATATAAAATACTATGCAGCAGTTACAAAAGGTGAATATTACCCATGGCAGAATCTCAGTGAAAATATATCTTAGTAACACACATAATAGTACACTACTTTTGCTCCTGTAAGAGTGCATGTGTGCATGTCTATTGAAGGACATGGAACAAAAGTTAATGTTGGTTTTCTCCAGATGGTAGAGAATCAGGCTATTTTTATTTTCTTCTTGGTACCTTTTAGTTGTAACAAAGTCTTTTCATCAAATAGTTATTTCTACAAGAAAGACCAAGGTTTAAAAAAATGGTTTTTTATTTCTGATCTGGTGATTTCTCCATTTGGTTATTGGTATTGTTTTAAATTTAAGAAAGTGTTTCTACTGAAAACTTAGTCTCTTTAACAGTATAAAGTAAAAAAGTACATCAAAATATTACATTGCAAATATAAAACACATCAATGAGAGCTGAGGTATGCATGTACTACTAAGAAAAGAGCACAGGAATAAAATCTAGGAAACAGTAATTAAGTTGATGTGTCATGAATGAGTGTAGAAAAGAATATTAGAAGACTATTATTACTAATAATCCAATTATAATTGAGAAGATGGTGTGTGACATTTTAGCATTAGGAATTATACTGTGTAATAAAGGAGGAATAATCAGGAGAGTTCCTTCACTTGAAAAGAATGAAACAAAAATGGTAAAATTAAGTGCCTCCATCAAGCAAAATACGTGAATGAAATTTCTTGATTAATATTTTATATTCAGTGAAAAACACCTAGAAGAAATTATAAGATGCTGAGTAATAAAATGAATAAATTGAATACTTTATCAACATTATTTTCCTCAAGAAATACTGGGAAACGTCAAGCTACTATACATGTCAGTCATCTAGACCTTCAATGTCTCGAAGATGGGAAAAATTAAAACAAGAAATACTTCTGCAAAAAGAAAAGAAAAATTTCAGATACAAATTGATTCTCCCACTGAAGTTCACAGTGGTTCTTAAAATCATATTGTTTCAATGTACATATAGAAATGCTTCAATTCTCTCAAAGATTCTCCCATTTTATGTGTCACAGTTATAGTTCTAAAATGTAATAATTGTACTAACAACTATTCCTGCTAGGAGAGAAAAAGCTGAAAGACTCTAATATTCCATCCATTTGACCTTCTAAATTTACATAGTAAACAAATGTGAATCCCCACAACGCCTAATTCAGGGTCTATAAATATTACATCACTATTCTCCCAGTAAAGTTCCAGCAGCCTTTCCATTTCCATTTTCATCTGCCAATGATCATATAGTGCACATAAAGACACAGGGAATGGTGATAAATGAAGTCATCTCTATAGCATGCATGTCACGATAAGGACCATACCTGGCTTTGTTGATTGTGGGTTCTGTTTCTCTTGGTCATTATGAGTTCCAGCTCTCCACTGACTTAATGCTTCCTGAAAGGACTGGGCAGAAGCTTCTTCATCAAACAACCCCTCACGCAAGAGCCTACCCTTTGGATTTATGCATTCATCTCTTTTTGTTGTAATTTCTACCTAAACCAATGAAAAATGTATTAAAGTGGGTCTCATAAAATTTTCTGATACTTTAAAATACAATGAAACTAATTACTTGTCATTTTAAATCAGACATATTTTAACTTGAATAGTATGTTTTTAGCCTGACTTATTTAAATGCTTTACTGTTTTCTTTAAAACTCAATTGGCAATTATAAAAGTTCTCTTCAGAAATTAATAATACAAAAATGACTTGTCATGCTAGTCACCACCATTCTCCCAGTAAAGTTACAGCAGCCTTTCCATTTCCATTCTTCCCTCTGGCTCCCTGAAACCTTCCCATCACAGAAACAGCAGATGTGTTTTGTTTTATTTTGTTTTTTAAAAACAGGATCTCTCTATGTAGCTCAGGCTGGTCTTGAGCTCATGATCTTCTTGCCTCAGCCTCCCAAGGACTGAGATTACAGGTATGTGGTACCATACCTCCTAGAAAGAGCAGTTTTAAAAATGTAAATCTGATATGTCACTCCAATCAAAAGCTTCTTTTGACTGTGTGAAACTCCAAGTTTCTACTGGGACCCACAAGTCCCTACAGGACCTTGTAATTTCCTGCTTTGAACTCCACCACCTCCTCTTCTTCACTTCATTCTCATGCTTCAGATAAACTCACATATTTGCAGTTCTAAGTGCCCATCAGGTGCATTCCCTCTTCAGCGTCTTGCACTAGTGTACGCAAAACCTGGAATAAGCTTTCTTCATGCCTTCACTGACCCATTCCCCATCCCCCCAACATTTCACTCATCTGTTCAAATGTCACCTTACTCAAAGAGTCCATCATTTTTGATCCTAAAATAATGGCCCTTCATATTCCCATTTTCTAATCCTTAACTTTTATTTCTCTCCCCATAATTTACCTCCATGTGAATTTATTCTCTATATTTATTTATTGATTGACTTTCCCCATTAGAATAAACCAGATTGGGGATTTTATCTTTTCCCCCAATGCTAAGAGCAGCGCCTGACAAAAAAAGCAGGTGCTCATTAAAAGTTTGTGGAATAAATGATCAAATTTATGAATGCTTATAAAACACAGCATGAGAAAACAGAAGCAAGATTTTGCAGTTATCTAGTGAATTAGAAAAAAATAGTCAAATTAGGAAAACCCACAAGATAAAATCCACACCAATGGCTGAATTCTCAAATGTGGATTACCTGCACTGACCAAATTGTTAAAGATCTGCTGTGCATCTATTAGACACAAGAAGAAAAATCTTATGGTCAACACTGAATTGAAAAATAAATAGATAAACTGGTGGCGTGCAATGAAACTATTGTTAAAGATGCATACAACAATTTTAATATAAGCAAAAATATCTGAGAACCTGTCAAACACTAGATGCTGTGCTGCAGACACACAGGTTAATAAGTTCTCTCTACTTTCATATCCAGAAATAAGGGTAATAATTGCTCAAACATACATTGGTTATGATTATTGCATAAGATAAAAGCAGTAAAGCAATAAGAACATAAAGCATCCAATAAGTATTAGTTGCTGATTTGTCAGTATTAGATAAATTTGATAAATTATATAAAATGGCAGGCTTGAAAGAGAAATCTTTAAAGCCACAGCCACTGTGTAGTGATTAAATGCAGGTAATTTGAAGTCAGAGGTTTGAGCTCACATCTAAGTTCTCCTTTCAGTGACACCTTAGGCAATTTATAAAAACTGTGCTTTGCTACTATTCTCCCATGTGAAAGAAGAAAGAATAATTAAGAAATTATAAATGGAGCTAATTCATGTAAAATATTTATGGTAGTGTCTGGTCCTTGGTACAACATTGTAATTATGAGGCTGCAACTCATCTGGTGATTGTTAACAAATCATTCTTGGCAGGTATATTCAAAAGTGAAATACATGGCAGGTCAGTGGTTCACACCTGCAATCCCACCTACAAGAGAGGCAGAGATCACGAGGATAGTGGTTTGAGGCCATACCAGGAAAAAACAAGAGACCCTACCAAAAACAAAAAACTAAAACAAAAAGGGCTGGGATAGAAGGGCGTGGCTGAAGCAGTAGAGCACCTTACCAGCAAGTGTGAGGCCCTAAATTCAAAACCCAGTACCACCAAGAAAAGAAAAGAAAAGTGAAACCCATGAAAATATTCTGACTTTCTTGGAAAATTCAAGCATAGTTCCTCTACTAAGAAGGACTTCTCCTAGCAGAGAGCACATTTTCTTTCATGTCCTTTGAAGATGAGTTCAAAACTTGGTAGACTTAAGTTCAACACAGTCTTGGTCACCATGTAACAAGCTGTGTGGTTAACCGAGTTACTCAATTCCTGAACTGCAGGAAAAAGATGAATGACATTAAAAGAATAAGGATAATAACACATCAAAATTTTAATTTGTTTCTTACTAAGAATCAATATAAGTCTATTATAAAAATAGAGACATAAGCTAACCAAAGCTCATCCAGCACATCATGGGATGAGCAGTTAATCTGAGTTAGTGCCAGAATTTGGTATAAATCTGGTTTTAAATAACTGTGAAATTGCCTGTCACCTAAAACAGTTGGCAAGGTTTTTATTTTTTGCCTCTCTAAAGTCCTGAATATTATAAAGTTGTTATATTACATTGTGGCTTTTATTTTAATATTTTCCCAAATACCCATTTGATTCCTGACAGGGAAGAAATGTTAGAAAGTCATAGGCTCAAAAGATCATTAATCAAAAAGATCAATTTTCTGTGGAATCAAAATAATCTCCCTAAAAATGTTTTGTAGTTGATATATTTGATTAATAAAAAAACCAATCTGCATTAAATAACAATGTGATGAAGTAAACTCTGTAACCCTAGCTAAATACATAAATGACAGTCTTCATGGCCACTAAGACAGGAAACAATCCCCATTACATTTTCCTCAGCTTACCCCAGAGCTGCTCTCCTGCTGAATTGGAAATTTGGGTTTGTTCTGACTTTTACTGCCTTCTTTACTGGAATCATTTATTCCTCTGGGTTCATCTGGATTTACTTCCTTTATAAATCGATGTGCAACATCTAATACACTGGATAATATCTGAGATTTTTCCTATTAAAAAAAGAACAAAATATGACTAAAGAGCCTAATGTGTCAGCCAAAGTAATCTATAAACAGCAAATTAAATTTTCAGCATTCTGTGTTTCATAAAATTCAGTAAGTTTTAATAAATATTTTAAACAAATTGACATTTTTATCAACCCTAATAATAGTGACAGTGCTGTCTACTAAGGACACTAGTTTGGGCTAGATCTATTCTAAGCATCTTTAAAATATTATATCATTTAAATCCTTAAGATGACTGTAAAACATAACAACTTTTATCTCTATTTTAGTGATAAAGAAACTAAAGCATGGAGAGTTTAAATAATTTGCCCTTGGTCACATGGTGAGTGGGTGGCAGAGCTGGGAATTGATCCAGGTATATATAATTCTAATGACTCATAGCCTTTTTGCTATGTCAACCCCACGTAGAAAGGTGTGTTATTTTGTGCATATTGTGGCTAGAGAATTAAATGTATCTTACCTAGTAGGAGGCTGAATAAGCAGTAATGAGCATTCCTTGGTAATAAAAACATATTTAGAATGAATGTACTATTGCGATGTGCACATCCGGAAGTGCCAGTACCTATAGTTCCCTACTAAACTCCAAGTTGATCCTCACTTTATGCCTTTGCTTGGGAGGCCCAATTACAAGAAGGCTCTCCCCCCTTTATCACCGAACTCCCTGGCAGACTCTGTCTTCTCATGGAATAATTCCAAGTGACTCCTGCAGGCCCCAGGCCCCGCCCCTCCTGACTGCCTTGTCACACTGAGCAGCTGTCACCAGGCCTTCCCATGTGAATTTTTCATTACCTTTTGGTGTCTATTCTATCATACCTTATAAGCTCATGAAAGGAAAAGCTATGATTTTAAAACTTTTGTATGGCAACCACAGTCCCTGGAAAATAGTGTATTGTAAAATATGGGAAGAAGGAGAGAAACTGCAGAATCAAAATAAAGAATTGAAAAAAGGAATTTTAAAACTTTGAATTTCAGAGGAGCATGCCTCTGCACAGTTAAATCTCAGGAATCCCTACTCTCAGAGGGGTCTCTACTCAGCAACTATTCTGGACAGACCAAGGATTGTGTGGGATTCTAGATCCCATCTGAGCTTGAACTGAATTCCAAGGAGGAGATTCAGGATCTTCAGAGGCCCTCTGAGAACCCAAATTAGGAAGACAAAAAATAGACCTTACTTCTTACCAAATGTCATGAAGACAGGAAAAATTCAGCAGGAATAAAAAATAACTATTTTGTAATCTCCCATGGAAATACTATTTTCATCTAGTTACCAACTTAAATAGATAAGATTATGTTGAAACTTTTCAGTTATGTCCTTTTATAAATATATTGAGATTCATTTCAGTCTGATTCAAGAATAAATCAGAGAACATCAAATTACCTAGTGTTACTCACACTGAATTAATAAATTACCTATGTAACTATGACCAATGTGGCCTATGCACTTTTATTACTGTCTGAACTGGATGCAGTGTGTGGCGCCTGCTCCAAAGTTTCCCACTGATCATCAAAAAGCCCATATAGATTTATATAGTCTTTATTTTTAAAAGAAATTCAGGTCAATGCTAATGCTTAGCCTTCCAGAAATAACTATTTTAACCAATAATTCTTAAACCAAATGATCCAACATAAGCCTGATTTCAAATTGCCTAGAGAAAAAGCCTGTGGATGTCAAAGGCAGTTACAGTGTCTACTTTTCACTTCATATCTGTAAAATATTAAAGGCAATAGTGTCAATTTGATATGAAATTTTCAAAATGGGGTTTCCATTTATGTAACATTTATTGTTAAATAAATACATGTGTATTTATTTAAATAAAACAAAACAAAGATTATTCTTGTCCTAAAATGTACCCTGCTATCAATGTTCCAGTAATTTTCAATTAGCAAATAAAAACCTCAGAAATAGCAAAAAAAATTTTTAAGTTAAAATTACTGCTAAAAAATCAGAGAGTGATGGATAGTTGATAAAATTGGATTTTATAGCTGAGGATCTTATAGTTCTATTAATTTAGTAGATAACTAAAGTGAGTACAATTTTAACAAATGGGAATTTTTTTCCTAGAATACCATACATTTAAGTATAATGCTCTCCATTGTAAGACTATGTATGCAAACTTTATTTCTCTTATTTTTAAACAATCATATAAGGAAACAAGGCAGATACTTTTTGGCCCCCATTACATAGACACAGAAACCCAATTTCAAAAAGCCTAGATCCAAGAAAAATGGCTACAAAAACACTGGACCTTGAATAGAATGAAAGTCTTCTTTCTTCTAGGCTAACTCCTTTTCCTGACTGAGTTCATGTTACCATCATGACACAAAACATGTACTTTACTTTGGTTTTCTGAAAGTGAGTTTATTAAATTTTATCATCAATAGATTTTAACATTGTTTTCCCACAAGATTACAATTCTTAATATAATTGCCTATGCAAGAATTAGGTGGTTTGTTTTTTGTTAACTTATTTATACCTGTTAATTTTTGTATTTGACCAAGTATATAAAAGTAAATTAATAGTCCTACCACATTAAAATGCAAGAAATAGAGGTTCTTCCCAATACACAAATAATAATCCCCAGAAGTAACTACTGTCAGCAGTGAAGATTATAACAATATTTAAAAGAGATTAACTATGTGTATTAAGTAGAACACTGTAGCATACATTAAAATATCTTGAAATTTTAAAAATCAACTCAAACATGTTTTTCATCTTATCAATATGAGAATTTAAATATAGCAATACAAATGGGTAACAACAGGAGAAGGGGACTGGAAGCGTGTAAAGTTACCTGTGCAATTACTCTGCATGTTAAAAATGTTTCCAAATCAAACCAAAACAGCTTTCAGGGCACACAGTAAACCATATATTTCACTGAAGCACAGAAGCTTAAACTAGAGCCAAAGAACGTGATTTACTGCCAGCATTTCCAGATCCCTCCCATCATTCACTACACTATGTGATGGTAGGATTTCATCTGGTAACTGTTCTAAATTCTCACCTGAAACTTTTTCCCCTAGAATGATATTATCTTTCATATTATACTCTAGAAGAATTCATCACTCTGACAATGTATCATTAATCAAAGTAAAGAGGGTTGATATTTTATAGCATTTTCCAATGGATGGCACCTTGTAAAAGTTAAGGTCCAAAAAAAGAAGTTTTAATTTAGTTTTTAAAATGGTATATTTTATGGTAATGCCAGTGCTTCCAAACTCCAGCTATCACCATCCAAATCTCTGCCTACCCCCTAATAAATATTAATGATCATCATATGATCCAGTACTTCCAATGCAAAGGAGTTCACATGTAGTGTGCACCTATGTCACTTTGCAAGCATGAAAAAAGAAGTTGGGACGTTTTGTTTGGTTTTGTCTGCGGGAGACGAGGGGATCTCTCAAACTCACAATCCTCTCACCTCAGCCACTCAAACAAACTCTCAAATGCTGGGATTACAGGCATACATACACTACCACAGCCCAATCTTCTTTCATGGTGTTAGCTTTCATTGATTTTCCAGCAGCAAAAACTTAGAAGAGGTTTATTTCAAGCACTGCCTCGCATTAAAAACTGACAATTCTAAACTCTTCATGTGAAGTTGGTAAACAAATATAAAGGTAGAGAAAGAGATACAGCCACACACCTAGAGAAAACATTGTATTGCAGCAGAACTCGAGAAGCATTATAAATGCATTGGTTGCAGTGAATGTTAAATACGGTTAGGACCCAGATAGCTTTAACAATCAAATCACTTTGGGAAGGTCAAATTGTGTACTAAATTTACCCAATAATATGCACAACTTTAATGTTTTTATGTATCAGTTAAAAATAAATTTAAATTGAAAAACTTTTCTTAAAATTTAATGTTTAGTTTAAATTCTAAAAATATGTGTATAAAAATAATTCTGTTTTTTAAAAAATACTTTCTCCTTCTTAGGAATATTTTCTCAAGTATAGTTTTTCTGATTTCTTTGGTGGAAGTTACTACACATGCAAGAGAGAAATAAGTAAATGGTGTCAGTCTAACTCTAAAGTGTGTATTGGTTCTTATGCTTTTCTTTTCCAACACATAGTGTTCTGTAGCAATCAGGGACAAGCTTTCTTATAATTAAAGCCAAAATCTTAGCAATAGATGAAGATCATAAGGAGGAAGCTAAAAATCTCCAGTTATGTCTCCTCTTAGTGAAAGTTCCAAGTATTGTAATGCTTCAATGACCATGACATTCCACTAAGCTAAACTCTCCAGGAAAACCACGAGTGTAGGTAGAGAAACTGTGAAGACCTGCCACCTCTAATATAAATCAACAGATTAAAAGGAGGCTATATCCTGATTGCTGAGATTTTTTTTTAATTTTGATGTAAATGTCTTCTGTTAGAAGCTAATTCCTACACGGTCCTAAAGGTGCATGTGTCTGCCAGCATGTTTCTATCTACACGTGCACTGGATACTTTGCAACACGATGACATAAGGACTCTGCTACCTAAAATCAGCGATAACAACACTCAGTCTCTCTGAGTTGGATGTTACATAGAAAAGGAGGAAAAACTAGCTACATCAAGCAGACAAGCTTTTCAAATTATCATGGGATCAGTAACAGGATGTAATAAATCCATTAAATTGCCACTTAGTAAAAACATCTTTGCAAAGTAAAAATAGTTTACTGATAAAATACACAACTTTTACATCCTAATCCATTAAATAAGTACAAAAAGATGAGCATTACCTCTTAATTTTCCAGTCTTAATATATATCTTCTATTTTTAGAGAAATTTATTTTGTTTGTATGATGAATCCACTCTTACAGATAAATTTAGTACAAATTTATTTCCTAAAAATAGGGTTGACCATAATCAACTCAATTTTCTATGAAAGTTTAAGAAAAAGATATATCATAAACGATTTTATCAAAGGTTTCATCTACTGTTAGGGTCAAAAGATAAAAGCAAAAAGTTAACAGCAGTTTAAGAAGAAAAGGAAAAGACT